CCTAAGAAAGAAGCATTACACAGATGTGTCTAATGAATCCAAGTCAAGCTTTTCTGAATGTGCAATGCACAGAGGTTATCTGATAGTTTTGTAGTGCAAAAATCACGTCATAATGAAGGGGTAATCTGGCAGTGTAGAGGAACAGAATGCAGACCTGTGGATGAAGGTCAGGGGAGCTTCTGGTCTGGCTATTTACAAGATAATGAACTGTGCCTCCAGTGATATCAGCCCATTTCCATTGAAATCATGGTTGTATGAGTGATCTATTTGTCTTCACTGGAAGGCTTTACAAGAGCAGGCTACTTGTGTGACTAAATATTTGCAGGGTTGGGCCTTGAGCTTGTGCAGTGCAAGGTAAATTCAAAGTTTTTAGTAGAAGAATTTTCCACTTCAGAGTATAACGAAAGCAGGGAGAGTAAAAGGGAGATAACGTTACTAAACCATAAGATTATAGCTAACATAATATGTGTCAGAAGAGCAGGTATATATGGATATGTACACACACACACACATATAAAATATATGGAGATATCTGTGGACCTCTGTGGATATACCGAAATAAATGGTTAGATATATATATGAGTGTTTTTCTAAATAATACATTCCATTTTTTCTATTAATGAACTTCCATGTTTAGTAACAGTGACAGGTATGAGATTCTTGTGCCTTCTAGCTCTTCTGGAGCTTAGTGCTAATCATAATAATACATTTATAAATAAAAGCCTAGTCAGAGCTGTGAAGGTAGAGCTTAATATTTGAATTACCCACTGCCTGCTGTCAGTTGCAGTATCCAGCAGCAGAGGAAATCCTTACAGCTTTCAGTGCACAGTTTTGGTCCTGCTCTTGAAAGATTCTGCGTGGTGCTGGGGTGGGCCTGTATGAAAGTATTTTTTCATTGAAGCTTGGCACTTGGCAGGGCTTGATTACTAGATTTCAATGGGGAAAATCAATTCACTTCTTATGCATTATCTCTATATATCCTGTAGCAGGAAGTCTGATATTGGATCAAACTTTTTTTAAGTTTAGACCTTTGAGGGGAGCCATCGTTTTTCCAGAGAGATGCATGTTACAGGTTTGTAGATGCTTTTGGGCTTCATTTTTGGGTCTGACAATATATAAAAAATATTTTCATATATATTTTTATATATAAAAACATATTAAAATACATTGTGTATATATTATATATAGAAACATACATATACATGTATATGTCATATACACAAATACATACATACACTGTGTTTGTGCGTATATGTGTATATACCATCAGCAATGAAGAGAAATATTTTAAATCCAAGGAGTGACTAAATTTTAGAGTGACATAAACATCTCAAATCATATACTGGTAAATCACAGCTGAACCAGGCAGTGCTGTGTGTTCCTGTTCTTGCAGAAACCATCCCAGTGTTCCAGGAATGAAAGGTGAATCCAAGCATTGGTTGCATAAAAAATGCTACATTCACTTTGATAGCAATAAAGTGGCAAGAGCTTCTAAAATGTGCCGTTCTGGTTTTGACATGTAGCAGCTCAAACGTTTCATCAAATGGCTACCAATGCTAGTGGGGGCTTTTTATTTCCCCTGGGCACCAAGTCACTACAAAATGCAACCTTGACACAGTTGCAGTTTTGATTAAGTAACCCTGTGTCCATGTATTTTTGAATTTAAAGGCAGTGGCAAGTGTTGACTACAGTTGCTCTTCATAAAAGTGATTTTTTTTTTTTTTTAATCAGACTTTTCTATTGTGGGCAGCAGTTAGGCCTTGCTGTAGTTAGTTTGAACAAGTCTGAATTATAAAGGAAGAGAATTAGGTTTCTAGAAATTCCTTCTGGTGTAATGCAGTTGAGTGTGTCACTTATGTTACAGCTGGTAATAGTGTTCTTGAAGTTCCTGGAGTAATGGAATTCTTATGTTCATTGAAGGAAAAAAAGAGAAATTTCCAGCTTTTGTGGTTGTAGAGAAAAATCTAAAGATTATGAACATTAGGGCTTAAAAACAGCAAGGCCAAGAAAAAAGATTCACAACGTGTTGTGATTTTTAGGGAAATCGCATTATCTGTACAGAGGAGTTTTGCCCTCCAGTGACTGGGGCAGTGATTTTGCTGCAGCAGGGCAGAGGGGAAGGTGGCCCGAGCCCCATTTGTGGAAGATGGTCCTATCATTCCCAACTGAGCAACTTCTATAAATGAAGTGTAACACTTTGATGGAGGTTTGGGCTTGACGTTTATTTTTCTGAAAATCTAGCTAGGGTGCCTACGGTAATGCAGGAGGTCTCGTTTTTTGCACAGACTTACCCTGCTGATGACAGCTTAATAAGCTCCTTTATTTTGTGTTTTTATTCAGTAAGCTTGTCAGCTTTTGTGTAGAGGCTGACCTCTGCTTTTGCCCTCCCCCCCACCCCAGCTCCTCTGAAAGGGGCACCTCTGTCCCCATAATTTGTAGTAAAAGGCAGTTGTAAAAGGGGGTGAACTGACTGGCTGTAGGGACATGGGCTCCTACTTTGTCAGGGGCTGACCCCATACGCCTAGAGTGCCTAAAAACTATTGAAGTCAGTGGGAATTTTGGGTGCAGAAGGACTAAAGCAGGACCCAGCCTTTATGACAGAGAAAACCCAAACACTGAAGGAAGGATTCAGTAAACAGGGCTGCTCGAAATGAATTACGGCACACAATGTGAGAACAGGTCAACATTTCATATGTGGCATACATTTTTTTCTAAACAGATAGAAAGGCATCCTGATATTGTGACTGTTTGCTATTAGATTCTGCACAAAAATCTATTGGGGTGGCATATAAATGCAGTGACTCAAGATAGCAAAAAGATGTGGGATTGTATTTCTTTCCATTCGTTTAATTGGAACCATGCTGAAAAGGCGTATGAAAACCATCGCTCTTGAATATATCTAAAGCGTAGCTTTGTGACGCTAAGAATGATGTCCAGCCTAATAGAATTTCAGATAGAGGAGATATTTTGGCTCATCTTTTGCTTCCAGCTATATTCAGTTTCCCCGTGTGGTTATTTTTCTTGTTACTGTATTCATTCAGCTATCTGTTTCTTACTTCACTGTCTGGGAATACGAACCATTTTGTCTCATTTCAGACCTTAAAATGGACTGGACAAAAATGAAAAGGGAAAAAAAAAGTATTTTTGGTAGTACCTCTGTGCTTGTTGTTCCCGTGTCTTAATAAGTCAGCTTCTTATATGAAAGGCCTAAATTACGGTCTTGGAATATTTTACATCTATATATACATTCTGTATTTTGTCACATCTGTATGCTGGGTGGTGCTTCATCAGGAGGGGATGAATGTAACCATTTTAGATGCTGAACTGGCTGTTGTGACATGCCCAGTTTGTAATCATGGTAATTGCACATACAAATATGGCCATGTAATTACATGTGCATTTTTGCATTTAGTTTCAGGAGTTCATTTAGAAAAGTATATAAATGTGGCCCAATAAATCCTTTATATCTTAGACTTCTGTGCTTTTATAACTCTATATAATTATGTAATAACACTGCATCTGGAGAGGTTTCACTTAAGTAAAAGCAATAAAGAGCTCAGGTTAGATTATGTATTTTTTGAGTTAGACCTATACTAAGTTGCTCAGCACTGTGTTTTTCAGCTTGTAAGATTGATTAAGTTCAGCAGTACTTGTGCAAGAAAAAATGTCTTGTGAGAGTAAAGAGCAATTTAATATAAAAATAAAACTGATTCAGGTAATTTAAGCTTCCATAATGACTGGAGTGATTAAATGGGCATTAATATAGTAAAATAGACACTGAATACTCGGCTGCTTGGGCAGTGAAGGCTTTTGCCAGAGTACAAATTGAATGCTAAAATGAAAGAATTACGTACGAGCAAAATTCCAGCTCTCTGAGAAGAAATCTAAATAATTATTAGTGCTATTGGCATTCATTGATTGAGATGAAATAGATACCGTAATTAATTTCTACTTATGTGTTCATATGCACATAAATAGAGAAGTCTAATTTGTCAATATTTTTTGTGTACAGGTATGTATTAGTCAAAAGAATGTATAATTGTTGTTTGTCTTCAGTATTTCTATTCCTGGAAGGGTTTTCACAAACGTTGAGGATATCTAATGAAGACTGATATATTTATTTATTTATTTATTCAGTGTTACTGTGACCCGACACTTAGTGCGATACTATCATATCTTATTGCTTGGTAATTTCCCTTATGGCTTTTTTCCCAATGGATAGTGTTACTGTGCTAAAGACAAGAGCTCAACTCTGGAGATAATACAGAGACAGATGTTAGATTTTGACACTCAGCAGTGGGAGTTTACAGACCTACTGAGCTTCGTCCTGCTGCCTTAGTCTGCTCTCACACAAGAGAGATGTGAAATACCTAGTAGGAATTGCAGAATCCAGCTTTTCTCTAAGAAAATATATATATTGTATTAAGTATTTTAGTTTAATTTAATTTTTTGCTAGTTCAGAAGGCTTAAACAGAATTGTGCTGCTGCAATCCTCTAAGATAGTTTACAGCACATGAAAGTTCAACTCCTGTCAATCTGTACAAAAATGGTGTCACAGATGATAAGGGACAAACCCAAGTCTGGTTGGAATGGCTCTAGATTAAGAAATGATTGCCGTTTCAACCTTTGTCATGGTTGAGACAGTAAAGAGAAAGGTCCCTTTTCCTGTTTCAAACATTTGTGTCAGCATCTATCACAAATTCTCTGTTGTGCATTGATGCCAAAATATTTTCAGCCTGTTATAAAATAAAATCTTCTAGTTCTTTTTTTTGTTTAGGTTAACGTCCATGTTTAAGCAGCTGTTTTGAAATACAGTGCCGTTTTTACACCAAAAAGAAAAATTGTTTACTTCTATTACATTTTTTGGCACCTTTTATTTTTTTTTTCCTTTAAATGTAGACAGCTAGAGTTGGTGCTAGCAGAAGCGTTCATAACAAATCCTGTATTTTCTGACTTCAGCCTGGTCTTTTCTGGTCTGTCTGGGAGGGTTGCAGCTGTAGGAACGTGTTTGGAACCCAAATCTGCTGGCAGCGGCTGTGTGCGGCCTCAGTCCGCTCCCAGCCATGGCACTCACTGGTCTTGCTCTCTGCTTTCCTGGTGGATTAGGGTCAATCCACTCTTCTGCTCTAGATGAGCCTGCATGCTTCTGCAGGGCCATATCCCAGTCCCTTCAGCTCAGAGGAGACCCTCAGTGGCTTCCCTGAACTTTTTAAAACAAAAAAGAGGTTTGAAAAGTCAAATTACTAGGAGCAAGGCGGTAGGGAAATAGCAGCAGGGCTGTTTTGTTGTTTTTTTTTTAAAGCTGTGTTTTCACACAGACCCTTTTACTGTGAGGTTTATTTGACTGGGGGAGAGATTACATTTAATTTTATTTCATGTGCATGCTGTTCTGGCTGGAAAGTTGCAATCAGATCCTTATCAAGCTTATTTAACTGCCTCTCTGCCAGGGCTTGGCAGGGAGTTTATAAAAGCCTGTCCCCCAGCCCTGTCAGACATTGTCCCACGCCATATAAAGCAAGACATCTCTTCTCTATGGTCTTTAAATATTCTTCTTGTGCAATTATTTGTGCAAGTGAAAATTAATCATTCATATATCCTTGGAAAGCAAATATGAATAGGAGCTGGAGCATGGCTGAAATTACCATTCAAACGCTTTAAAAGCTACTGGTAGGTAATATTTTGGAATATTTGCCTGCACAAAAAAGTCCATCAAATATAGCAATAGACAGTTTCTGGCTGGGCAGAGATAATTTTTGGCATTTCAATAGCTTTTCAAGCTACCGTGTCATGGAAATACACATTGTCACTCTATGCACAAACAGTATTCCTATGGAAATGTCATTAAAAGCTATTTTCCAATGTCTTTTAAGCAAAAAAATCAGTCTTATTTAGCCAGGTGTTGCATAGGCTAAACTAATTTTCCTCAGATAGAATTGTGTTTCTGCATTCATGAGTATTTTAATTTTTTTTTTAAACATTCACTGAGATAAGATCCTGTACAGAGCGGTGCGCAGAGGGCACTTTGCTGGCCTTGGGCTGTATGATGCCCACAAGAGACTCTGCTAGCTAATTTGGGAGTTTCAAGGGAACATTTCTCAAATGAGAGGACACAAAAGCTACTGGAGGGTGACTTCAAGGCAATACAATGTGTAGAGCTCAGAGCCTTCTAAGAAATGCTTACTTTGCACCTCATCCACAGAGAAATGTGAAAGCATGACGAGATGCATTACGCTGATATTGCCTGGCTGTGATTTTTTTCAGCTCTATGGCTACTGCTACCAAGATAGCAATGAGATCCCAGACACGCTGACGACCATCACTGAACTAGGCTCGCCCTTAGAGATGATTCAGCTTTTACAGACTTCCTGGGAAGACAGATTTCGAGTAAGTAACAACTGTTTTAAAACGACTTTTAAAGAGAGTGATGAATATAACATCAAGCATGAGACAGGGGTTATGTACTATGCAGTACAATTCACATTTAATAAATGTTTGCTTTGTATATGATTACATCTTGGTTTGGAAACAACATTTAGCACTCCCTTTCTGTAGTGTTTAAGAAATTGTGCTATTTTGTCTGTCAATATTATCTAATTGTAGCTGGTTATATGCTTTTTACATGGTATCTTCAAACATTTCTTACTTGTTAACGCTCGAGGCCCAGAATTTTTGGCATTGAGCATTGTGCTCTGCAACTGGGATTTAAACAATAGAAGGATGTTACATTTCTCTCCTGATCCTTATCATAGGTTGGTTTTAGAAATGTTTTCTACTGCTTCCTGCTCTGTTTGTCTTTTACTGGGGGAAGAGTGAAATAAATGTACACAAATCTCAAACCTGGGCTGTCCATCGCATTGGCAATTTACCAGGAGCACGAAGGTCACACTTAATTTGTCCAGAATGAAGCCAGACTGCAGCAATGCTTTGATCATGACAGCACTGTCTCGCTCAGTGTATATTGGGACATGTCGTCGGCTGAGTTTAACTCCCTAAGACGTTGAAGGCAGCAGCAGTTTTCATCTAAAACACTTTGGATTGCATGGCTGCATCCGTACCAGCAAATTAAAAGTGTGCCTGACTGATCTTGGAGGTGAACCAGCGAGGTGCAGCCCACGTCTGCACTATTGAATTCTTGCACTCTTTGAAGGCTGTGAGGCTGCATGGAGGATGCCCATCCAAAATGGTCCTTGGGCCATGCTGGCTTCTGGATCACATCAGGAGACTGAGTGGGAGAGCAGCCTTGGTCCTGGCCAGACCTGGGCCAGAAACTGTGCCTCCAAGTGTGCATGTGTGATTACATTGCTGTGCCCAGGAATGTTCCCTGGCAGAGTTTATTTTACTCATATAGATGGAGCAAGTGCATTCCTTGCACTAGGCTTCAGCTCCCTTTTCCTGAAGGAAGTACGGTCTTAATAAGTGGTGGAGGTACTCATCACGGCTTCCAAAATACAGGACCTGTCTTCAGCTCGTCTCATGCAGGGAATGCAAATAATGGACTGTGATGGTAGCTACGTACAAAGTAAATGACGAAGAGATGTGTTAGATTATGGATAATGAGCAGGGAAGTTTCCTTCCAGCATGGATATTTCTGAGCGAGCAATTGCAAAGGGAGATGACAGAGAATTAGGTGAAGGTGCTGAACTGATCCATAGAGGTGGGATTACAGATGAAACATTCCAGTGACTGCTGTAATGAGGTCTTAGATAATGTCATGCTCATTGGCTTGTTTAGGACACAACTAATGCAGAGAACGAGGGAATAAAATAATGTCGTCTTGATACATGTGACTTGTTTCAGTCCTGAAGACAGCTGCATACATATTTGACCTACAAACAATTTTCCTGTGTTGAATGACTCTGCAGTAAGCTTGCTCCATGGATGAGCACCTCTGTGCTCAGTGGAGGTGTGTGGTACTGCGCAAAGCCTTCATACATAAAGCCTGTCCTAGAAGGGGCATCCTCATCCCAGCCTGCAGTCAGGGCTCAGCCTGGTCACGGCAGCTGCCAGTGCAGGAGCAGGGGCTTTTTAGCATTTCAGAAAAGGCAGTAATTTCACATGACAACCGGTGTTTTTATTTGAGTTAAATTTTATGGATTTGTTTGCAATAGAAAATATGTGTATTATAGGTTAGTTTGGGCTGGATGTGCCTTTTATATGCAGCAGAATGGCACATACGTGAATCCTGTGTTCTTCCAGACAGAGGAAAGTGTGGTCAAGTCTAGCATCACATAACCAGGCTTGTGTTCATCTACACCTACAGGCATCTCCATATGAACTGTGGTATCCTGTAAGCAGGATAAATATGTTCTAGTCTGGTCAAGCAGGAGAATGATTATGGAAACAAAGGGGCTGTGAGGGATACCTTCAGATATGCTCAGCTTTCTTATGAAGGACGCATTTAGGTGCTCCCCTGATTATACCATTCATGCCCCAAGACTGAATTTGGATTTGACTACTTCGATGCACGTGGCCTTAACAGTGTATTTTAACAGAAAACAAAGATTATGTAAAAACAATAAAAAGCTTGCTAGACTGAATAACACCTGTTATTAATTTAATGCATAGAATAAAAATTCCAGTATTTAACTGTGTTCGTATTAATGCTACGTTTGCATTAACACATTACATAGTGGACTTTAAAGGAATGCATGAATTGAAAACAGCACTTTGGTAAGAGGGCTGTTCAACCCTTTGGTAAGGGGAAAGTTCAACTTTAATTGAGTTTGCAGTCTGGTAATAGTTACTCAAGTTTCTAACCTGCAATTGAAAATTGCAGCATCAGCGTGGAGCTCCCACCCCAACCTCAGAGTGGCACATGAGGGTCCACCAAGGTAGACCCACCAACATAGATGGATGTACACACCAACCCTGAGGCATGGTGAAGAGTTATGGAGGAGCTGTGGAGCTCTGCTTTCTGGGAATTTGCTTCATTCTCACCTGGAAAATGGCAAACATAAGAGGAACCAATGGAAAAAAATTATAAAAGCAGTCAAAAGGTGGGATCAGTACGGAGGCGATACAGACACCATCTGCAGTTGAAGCTCCAGGCGCAGGCACAGGGCCGTCTGGCCAAAACTTCCAGACCTGGAGTTTGTAAAAGAGCAGAATCAGGCTGCATGGTCAAGGCCTGTGCATAATGTGTTATTAAAACTTAATGCTTTTATTTCTATTAGAAGTAAGAACAGCAACAATGAGCCCAGCTTCAAGAATAGTGTGGGAAAGCACTGGTAAATAAGCTTATTTTTGTTTCAACTCTCTAAGGGTCTTACAATCAACTATGTTAATTCTATGAAAAATGCCTTAGTTGCAGCATTCAGTTTTGAGGATAAGTTATAATGCTTATATTAAGTCATATATTTATGATTATGTCTTCAGCTAAAGTGGTTTCATTTATATACTATGCTCTGAGAAAATAACGCCAGGTACTTGCAATTTTGCATTTCAGGTATGTCTCAGCTTAGTTCGGCTTCTACATTATTTGGCTCACTCTCCTCTCGGCTCTGTGACATTACTGGACTTTCGCCCTCGGCAGTTTGTGATTGTGGATGGGGAGCTGAAGGTGACGGATCTGGATGATGCCAGCATCGAGGAGAGCTCTTGCACCAGTAACAGTGATTGTTTCATGGAATTCCCTGCCAGGAACTTCACCCTGCCCTGTTCGGTGGAGGGACGGTGCCAGAGCATGAATGAGAAGAGGAATCTGTACAATGCCTACAGGTATGTGATTGGTAAGGTACAAGAGAATGAAAAGTGAGCAAAAAGTCTCCTGCATCCTTTACAGTTATTCACATCAACCAGTACATATTGTCTCAGAACTGCTACCCAAGAGTAAGCGAAGCCATGAATAATTGTTTCACTTGTGAAAATACATAGCATTTACAACTTTGGAAATGTTTTGCATTCTTTGAGTGTGATTCACCCCTCAGTCTAATTTTGTGTTGGTTGAAACCCACTGAATGCTTCACACAAGTAGAAATTTTCACAGGAGTGAAGCAGAGGCGCTTGTGGAGATGGGGACCCACTAGCTCTGTGGTGAGACAATTCAGGCAGCTCTTCTTTGGTGTGAGTTAAGAAGTGTCACCACACGTTTTCCACCACTGAGAGCCTGCCTTGGTAGGGTGATAACAGTCCCTGGTGCAGCTGAGAGGCCACTGAGACTGCCACCTCTGACAATCTGAGGCATAACCCCAAACCTTTTAAAACAAGGAATTCTCCTTTTCACCCTCCTTCCCTTCCAGCCCCTGGTCTCTGTGTGGGCAAGCAATAGGGGACTGGTTCCCGGTGCTGTCCTGCATCGTGACAGCACCATGCCTGTGATGGGGGATGCACAGGTGATGGGTCATGCTGGACCAGTCAGCCATGCTGAAGAAAGCATTCACCCGACACATCCTTCTTCCAAATTTGATTTTAAGGGTTTCTCTGAATTTGCAGTGGAGTCTTGGGTGATGGCTTTTTGTTTGTGCTCTCACCTCTCCTCTGTCAGCCATTGGTCCCTGCGGTGGGCTGGGCTGGGATGCTGGAGTAGTCACGTTGCTCCTTTTCAGGTAGCCAGTAGCTGATGCTCAGTGCCGTGCTTCTCCTGCTGTGACAGGCGCTGCTGGGGCAGGCGGCCCCCTTCTCTGATCCAGACAGAAGGATGGAGGATGTCAAAGCCATGCCATAATGGTGTGCTCATTTCTTAGACTTTCCTTTCAAGTATCGTGCCATTCACTGCCTGCCAGACCACCGCGAGGAGAGGCTGCTCCAAAGACAGTCTTCTGCTTTGGTCCCAGGGCGCTCCCCAGCATGTGTGTTGCATTAGCTGACCACACTGAAATGGGCTGCACAACGTTACAGCCATCTGCAGTTGTGCAGCACAGCTTTTAGTGCGTCCTGCAGAATTTTCCGTTTCCCTTTGCTTGGCTCAAAGATCCTGCTTAGCTTGCTAGCTTTTGGTTAAGATTGTTTTATTGGTCTGGCTGAGAAACCTTTAATAGGCACCCATCCATCTTGTTTTTAAGTGGAGATACGTCTGTGGTGTGGAGGGCTTGTGGCAGGTTGCCTGTCTGGCTAAAAGAAGCAGTCTATTTCTATTACAGTTCTTAATCTTGCCTTTGAACCACGCACCAGTGTGCAGGACACGCACAGTGCCCCAGTGTTTTCAGCCCCTGTTTTTGCTGAATTCGACAGAGACAGTTGGTATTTGTTCCATAGCAGATTCATGCTGTAGTAGGCTGTGACCACCCATGCTAAGGCATTAGAAACAAACCCTGTGCACTTGTCTTGGAAGGCCAGTTCTTCAGTTCATTGGGTATCATCTACTAAATTTCATATTTTCATGCACATACTCTGTGCTGTAGGGTTGGAGATTGCCCTAAGGAAAGGGTTGCTGGTGCTGTTAGGTAGAAGTCAAAAGCAGAAACATGTCAAACAGTGCATAAACCCCTTGTAATTTTACAATATAGCAGGCTCTAACCTTGAAAGAGTAATTAGCCTATCTAGCTGGTTTCTTTATGAGGTCAATAATTAAAGGAGAGAAAACATTTTGGAAAAAACTTCACTGTGCAAGAACTGGCTTGGTTCAGATGGTTACCTTCTGTCACAAATGTGTCTCTATGGGTTTTCCTCCACATGTTTGGAGGAACAATTTTCAAAGCACCGGACAGTTTTAAAAGTAAGGATAATTAATATTTTGAAGTGTTAACCAATGGCTGAGATGAATTCTCCATCACTGATAATTCCTAAATTAAGATCAGATAGTCCTCGAAAAGAGAGAGGGGAAGAAGCCTGTAGGAACAAATGAAAAGGATCTGACAATCTGTGCTATGCAGATCACAAGGGATGCCACTGGCCCTGCAGTCGATGAATAACAAATGTTCCTGCAATTAAATTGTGTAGGTGCCAGTGTCTCTACATGTCAGAATTTCATATGTGGGTGTTTGCAGTAGAACAAGTCATACATTTCTATAGCAGCGGAAAACCAAAAACCTCCGTGACTCGCATCCATCGGGCATTTAGCAAAGTAAATGACAGCTACTGAATTTTTGCAAAGAGCTATTCACAATCAGTCGGGCTCTGCTTTATGGATAATCTCTAACCAAAAATGTCAGGTAAAATTTATGAGGCAAATTATGTGTTAAAAATGTCATGCTGCTTTTTAGATATCTGTATGTGTTTATGTTGGCTGTTTCATACTCATCACTAAGAAAACCTACTTGGGGATAATCCCACTTGGGAAAATCATAAATATTATTTCTGTAAAGGATGAAAAAAGGGAGTTACAGTCTCAAGGAAATATTTGTTGTGTGTCAGCTCAATGATACTTGTGTCTATAATAATTTTTTTTCATCAGTAACCTAATTTAAAAATTTGTGATTATGTGGGATGTCTGCTAGTCTCCCTCCTGAGCATTAGTCCCTGGAGGTTTCTGTGTGACAGTGTGTTATCTGTATATGAGAAAACATCTACTTTGCTTTGTGGGTTAGATGCAAAGAAGGGCAATTTCCCAATTGTGTTCCTGTTCTGCTCATTACCTAATATTAATCTCTTACAGTTCTGTTTATATTGTCAGTCCTGAACTGTCCATCTCCATCTTAAGTTGCTATGACACTGAGTTTACAATGGGTAGTGTTATTGGCAGAGTGATAGAAATTTAATGGAACAATGTGAAAATTAAAGGTACTTCAAGTGATGGTAAAGGCATATTCTTTTTTCTTTTGTAATTAAAAATGTTAAAATGGAGAATATACATCCATCAGTGAATATCTACATAAATGTGTCTTGAATTTAGATAAATTATGAGAACAGAGAAGACATTCTGAATTGCAGTGGCATTAAAACAGTAGAAGGCAGCTTTCATCTGGGAATTCATTTGAAAGTCTGAAGAAAACTGTAGAAAAAAATAGTCTATTATTTGAAATGAGAAGAAATTTGATTTATGCACTTTTAAAGTTTGAAAAAAAAACAACCCAAGACTTCTGATGTTGATGACACCCTTTTAGTTTGTTAAAGTACAGACAGTTTTGGAAATAGTCACAATCCACAGGACTTCATGGCAAATTTCTGTATTAATGGTAGCTACAAGGCAGCCTTGTGTCTAGGTATGCCAGACAGCTGTGTGAGTAGTCTCAGCTATATATTTATTTGACTATAGAATATGATTCTATTTCCTGAATAGGCCAGTGCTTATAAGCGATAGGAATTTTATTCCTTATCTTGTTCAGTAGTTACCAGACATTTGTAAATTCTTTTTTTTTTTGTTTTGATTTTTCAATATGGGTTACTTTTCCATTGCAGGTTTTTTTTTACTTATCTTCTTCCACACAGTGCTCCAGCCTCACTGAGACCATTACTGGATAAGATAGTCAATGCAACAGGTAATCACAATAAACATGGTAATGCCAAGTATTTCCTTTTTTTTAGTGTGACTATCGCGTTTGGGATGTGAGGGATCCTGCTTTGATGTTCACTACAATAGGTCACTGGGTGCATCAGAATGCACCCTTGTGGATTTTGGAGGGACCCCTGTCACTGGTGAGGGAAGTTTTAATGGTGAAAGCAAGATACTTCCCCATGCCCATAGTAGCAGTGGTGCTTTTATACCTCAGAAGCTAGAGGCTAGTGACATTACCATAGATCTTTACTAATTACCAAGGTAGTGCCATTGGGGCAAGAGTAGTTGCATGTGCCAGTTAATCTGATTTGAGGGGTTTTGGTGCATTGTTCTAGGGATTTTACACCTTGTACTGTGTGTATTCAATGGGGACTTTAATATGCTGGGCTACAGCTAATTAACAAGCAAAGCCTTTGGAGTTCTCTATTTTGGCTAAAGTTCATCTCTCATGTGGAGCTCACAGCAGGAACAGTACCCAATTTGCAATAACTCATGAACTTCATGTCCACATCATGATGCTGTGGTAGAGCAGGGCAACGCTGTGCTCTGATGCTTCAGGCTTTAGTTGAATACAACTTTGCTTTTGTCCTGTGCAGGTTGCTCCTCATCTAACTTGTGCTTTTTCTGTGCTTTTAAAGGAGAACTTCACTGGGGAATAGATGAGACAGCTGCTCAGCTAGAGAGAGTTTTGAATCTGTATAAGAGTGGAGAGTACCTACAGAACACAACCCGGATGCCGAAAGCTGGTAAAGTGGTCTTTCTTGAAACTTAAAATAGGAGACTTTGTCTTTATTTTGAGGTTTGAAAGGGCAAATGTTCAGAAAATGGAGGCTCAGTGGCCCTTGAAATAATGCACGTGATAATCTGTTGTCTGCTTTTTGCTTCCTGGGAGCCTTCTGAAGCCCTCCTCACCAAATGAGGTAGCTGCACATCCCTAGGTGTGAGCAGGCTGTAACAGCGATAAGGAAATCTAACAGAGCGTTGCTCTCCATAAGCAGATTTGTCGAAAATGTTTTTCATCACATCCACACACTTCTCTGCTGTCAGAGTATCAGAGCCTCCCCAGACATGAGCTGGGGGCAATCTAATTGAGATGCCATAATCTTCCATGAATTTTCTGGGATTTACAGGAATTTCTTGTTACGTGAGCGCTTGTAGATTGGGAGAATAAAATCTTTGCTTGCTTTGCAAGTTAGCTGTCTGCTGGCAATAGAATAAAAAAAAAAAGACAAAAAAAGGACAGGTTGAAAACAAAGCTGCAGTAATAGTATCTTTTTCATAAAGTCTCTGTAGCACCACAGGTATGTAAAATGCTATTTAAGCAGCTATGTTACGGAGGGATGCATATTCTTCCTGGAAGGATAGCTTGTGGAATTATAGACATCAAAGAAGATTATGTATGATGGAAATGACTGTTAAGTCGAACAATTGGAAAAGCTGTTTTGCAAATTATTTTTGTGTATGTACAACGTTCATGTCAAACTATCAACATAATTGGCTGCAAGTTGATGGGAAAATTATGGCTTTGCTGCAAAAGAGAGAAAGATGGGTTCTAAATGAAGATGAATGTTGGCACAGGGGGTCTGAAAAGTTCAGCAAAGCATTTGCTCTGTGAAAGAGACACAGGAGCCAGATTCATTCCTGTTGTAGCGCTGTTAACCTCAAAGGGCCGTGACACCGGGGATGAATTTGACCCACTTATCAGAATAATTCAATATTTATTTTGTTGTAAAATTGGCAGGAAAATTGTCACAGGTGTTCATTTAACTTTCTAATTTTCAGCTTTTCGTCACAATCTGTGCTGAGTGATGCCTGTCAACACAGCAAAATTATTTTCAGCAGTACAATCAATAGTACAAACATGTTCTTTGTTGAAGAAGTGCCAGGAGGGCTGAAGTTTTTCTGTGATGCTGGTTGATTCCAGATTTAACTGCCATATCAGGACAAGATGAAGTTTTGAATTTTAAAGGGCTGTTATGTTTATAAAGAATCTCAGGGACAGAAGCTTAGGACAGCGGGTAGTAAAAGTAACAGTGCAGGTTTCTACTAATATGGACCAGAGCTCCACGTATATTTGGCTGCTGGAATAGTTACATGTTTTTGTGTTAGTTTAATTCTGTAGAGTCCTGGATAATATAACGCAGAATCTGCTACCATGTTCATGGTTAGTAGCACCCTTCTGTGCAAGGAGCCCCTTTTATTTGTAGGACACTGCTCGTGGACTTAGGCACTCCACAGCGCGAGCAAAATTGTTGAAAATCTGTAGATGCTTTGTGTAACATATTTGTCCAGTCTACATTAAAGACTGAGTGTAATATTGAATTCCTTCATAGGAGAATGTTGTCAACCAATGGCAAGCCTGAGGAGTCAGATATTTTAGTGGAAATTACAGTTATATGAGATGTGTTTTCAGACTTAGCTGCCATGCCTTTAAGATGTGCAGGTCTGTTTCTTGTTTGTTCTAAGGATACTTTAATCAAACAGAAAAGTGGTTGGAGTTTATTTCTTTTTTAAGGCTTCCTTTCCTTGCCAGAAAAGTATGAAGAAGTTACATTGTGAGGGTGAAGATTCGTATCACTCTTATTCTGAACATGTTCCTTCCTCAACTGGTATTTGACTGGTAATACCATGCTAGAACATTCTTAGTCCAGAGATTATGGAATTAGAAATTATTAATTAGAAATTACCCAGAGGTTATGGAATTAGTAGTTTTTCTGTGGTATAGTGGAGTTGCAGGAGAGGGTGACAGTGGTGCTGGAAAGGACTGGTGTCCAAGCGATCAACTTCTTCCTGCTGGGAGGTTGTTCCCAGCTGAGCTGGCATCCTGACCACCAAAACCAGGGCTGAACAGCTGAGCAGATCAAATAATTTGTGTAACTCCTGGTGAGTGCTGGAGGGAGAGACAGGGGTGAAAAGAGACGACTCTGATACTTTCCCAAGCTGTCAGCCAAGGTCCTGCTTTGGCCCTGTTTGAGGTCTAGGAGGACACTGAGTTGCAGTGCATAACTAGAGAATTCAGATATAGGAATTGCAAGATTTTGTTTTGTTTTCTTTTTTGGGAAAAGAAACCACAGAAGGTTCAGGTAATGGTGCTTCGGAATTTGTCTTGAGTCTAAACTCTTTGAATTATCCATTTTCTTTGATCGAGCATTGTAAATTAGTACTAGGAAAGAAGAGATCATGTTATTGGGCAAGTGATCTAAGGCCGTAATTAAATAATAAACTTTGAGGAAACAGTCTGTTATCTATCTGAACCTGTTTTTGAAAGGAAGACCTCCTCCTATGAACATCATGAAGTGAGAAAGGTGATATTGATAATCAGTATGGAAGTGACAGGAAGAAAGTTCCTGTCAAACCTAGTGTTCCCATAAATAAAGTTTAACAAGATGACATAGTCATATTACAGAAGGTCTTGGATATTAAGCTTTCACTGTGCTTCAGTTGTAAAAGATTTTATAGTGCTGTAAATTATATTATGCTCTGGACTTTGCTTTAGTATCTTAGAAACAGAGTAGAGGCGTGGGAGACATTTGATAGCTGTGTATGTGTTCTGTAATCATAAATCATACCACTGTTAATGTTGATATAGGAACATTAGTGTTTAAAACAACACCATGAACAAACACTTTTATATTCCACTGACTGTTGGTCTCTCTTGCTGGAATCTGGAAGAATGTGAATTAAAACAGAAACCATGCATTTCTTCTGATATGTTATCTTAAAATGATTAAATCGTTCCATTAATTATCCAGATTAAGACTATTAAAAAAATCTACTGATGTTCATCAGTAAAGTCCTGCCCCAGTATCAACATTTTTATTACTTCAGTCAAGTGCCAACTGGGTGTTTGGCCCTTGAGCTAAGCCCCAGCCCTTCAGTTAACTCAACATTTACTCAGAAATGTGTGAAATCAGCTAACACTAGTAAATCCAATAGCTTCGTTATTCATTAAAGCTAATAGATGACCCATTATTAGGCCTGAGGGTGTGCAAGCCCACAGAAAGGCGTAATTAGCTGCTGCTGCTGTTAGTTGAAGGTACATTCTCAATGCTAAAAAAGCTGGAGGGCTGGACATAAAGCAAAGACACTTTGTGTTTTCCTTTGTCTTAAGACAATTTGGCAGGATTATGCTGTATGTAAACATTTACAGTACAACAGTGTTTTGAGAAAATATTCTACAGAGTCACTATAGCAACCTGCTTAGGAAATTGTAAATCCACCCAAGAATTATTGAAGCTGGGGGGGGAGTGTGTATGTGTGTGTTTGTGCACATGTGGATGTGTGAGAGAGAAATTTTGGAAGGTTGCTGGAATATTGTTTTGAGGCAGTCTGTATATCCTGCAGCAACCCACAATGCTGAGGCAAAAAGTGTGCTGCTGAAGGCACTCGAAGGCTCAGCCGGGAGCATCCTGCAGCCTGGTCCTTGCAGCCCAGATTTCTGCTTTATCTGGCACTTTTGTGTCTGGTGCTTCTTTCTCAGGGACGTGGTGGCTGCTTTGTGGCCAGCTGAGAGGGAAAAAGGTGCATGGGACTGCAAGCACGAGCAGAAAGTCTCACTCTACACTGGAAATGGCTGTGTAGCTGTATGGTGACCAGTTGGTTGTTGTTCACAGGTTACGTCCACCGCTGTGCAAACCCTGTGCCCTATTCACAGAGCAGTGTGTTCTGCTGTCACTAAACTTCTCTAGGTCCAACATGGCAGTGCACAGCAAAGTGCTTTCTGCTGATGGGGTAGCTCCTTGTCTACTTTCAAGAGCACTAAAGAAGTCACCGAGTGTCTTTTACAAATTCTGTCAGCATCTGTCTTTAAGCTTAAATACCCCCGCACGTGTGACCCAAGATACCTTTTGGCTCGTTCATCATCAATATAATTGTTTTTATGAGTGAGTGGGCCAGGTGTGGCACTAATTTGGGCTAGTTGCCTTCAGTAAATCACACCAGAGGTGGCCGTGGGTGCAGAGCAGCTCTGCAGCCCGGTGAGCGGCCCTGGGACGTGGGGCATGAGGCAGGAGAACCACTCCAGCTGTGTCCTGTTAACAGGAAAGAAATGTTAGGGAACATGTCGTTCTTCTCTGTATTTATTTGTGTTTCGGTGACAGCCTGCATACCGATTTAAATATGGCTCTACTGTAAGCACAATAGCAGCACAGAAAAAGAGGCAAGCCTTCCTCTGCTTCCAGCCTGTGCACGTGAAACACCCAAAGGACAAAAATACTCAGCAGAGAAGCGGGGCTGTCTCCCAGTCTTGACAGCAAACCCCGTCCTGCCAGTCCTGTCTGTCCTTCCACACAGTTGGGATTTGTCAGGAATGACTGAAAGCAGAGACACGTGGGATATGCCTAGCATGTCATTTTCTCAGACATTCCAAAAAACTATCTTTCCGTAGCACAACTGCATGTAAGGCTTTGCAAGGCTTGTTGTCAGAAGCATGTTTAAATGTGAGGTATTGAAGCATGAGGAAAAATTCGGCATAAAATGAAGTGTACTAAAAACATAAATGTATTATTGTCTATTTAGGATTTGATTCTGTTCTCCTTAAGCTCCCTGGGAATCGGTGGGGACTGTTTGTAGAGCAAAATACTGCTCAATACCACTTTTTGCTGAGATTGGCAAGATCAGGCTCTTTCTACTTACTTGTAAGCAAAGCAATTAAAAGCAAATCCAGATTCAACTGCCAGTGTTCCTCTTGAGAGTGGAGGAAAAGAGGAAGGAGGAAAAGCAACAACATGATTTCTCTCTCAAGGTCGAACATTACTGTGTCTGTGTCATTGACCCATGGTGTATTGGCAGGTGATAACTAGAAAAGGGAACTGGGCAAATTTCCAACGAGTAGCTGTAGTTGGTAGTAAAAATGCAATCTGGCTGCCGTGGCTGAAATAAACGGTCATTAGGACTGATTAAAGTCAGATTTAGGGTGATTCAAACAAGCTAAAAGGGGGAAACCACAGGCGGTTTCACATAGTTTATTATATACCTGTGGAGTTATTTATATGATTCAGTCTAGTACAGTGAAAATGAGTATGTTTATAGATTGTAAGTCAGCTTTAGGACAACACAGGTGATTTTTGATGGAAAATATTTAGAATAAGATTTTAAAGCATTGACTTTCTTCTGTAGCCCTTGCCCTGGTCAATGATGCTGCAGGTTGCTTTTAAAGATGCCACTCTTACTTGTCAGGAGAAGGTGCTTTTTTGGAAAATCGCAGTGGCTGTTGTGGGGGGCTGGTGAGTGCTGCAAGAAAATTCTAAGAAGATTTTATCCTGATTGAAACAGCGTATTTTGATTGACCAGAGCAAACTTGTAAAAATATTTTAAGAATATTAAAAATATGACAGAGTAAGACTTTTGAGGATTGCCCAGATTCAGCATAACAAGATATTTTGAAGTATCAAAATGTTTACCGGGAAGGACAAATGTTTCTTAGTGGGTTTTATTTGTATAGATGTGAGCAGCAAATCAGCTGCCCTGTGTTAAGCTGGAGTTAATCTGTCATAAGTGAAATCAAGATCAGGCTTACTGCATTACATTTATTTGCTCTGATCCTCACAAAATCGGTAGATGGAAAAAAGGATTATTTTTCTGTTGTGATACTGGTAGGAGCATCTTGCATTTTTCTGATCTATTCTTTGCCATTACCTTGACAGACTTTGTGTACTCTGTGTCAAGCTATGTGTATGTACGCAGAAGTGTAAATTTATGGCTGCGTTTATAGTATTAGGCAAGTATTTATTGGTTTTAAACACCATTAGTCTGGAAATCGACCAGAACTTTGACCTCTTTATGGTGTGATTTACTGCCATGAGCCTTCAAATTCTGTAGACTCTATTTAAGCAAGTTTCAGGTCCTGGCAGGACAAAAACTTGAGCTAGGGCTGTCTTTTAGTTTTGCTTAATTGAGTAAGTAACTTCACTGAAGCGACCATGGTGATCATGTAAAGGTTTTGGGGAAGCCCAGCTCTCCTGCGGGCTGGGGCTAATGTCATTGCTGGGGGACATCTCGACATAAGGGACACCCTTCAGGAGCATCCTTCTAGTTCACAACTCATACAAATAAGGGCTAAGGGGTCAGCTCCCTAATTTGTCACTGTGTAAACAAGAGATTCCAGGGATATTTGCTTTTGCTGTGCAAATGGGGAAGACAGCTACCTTGCTCTGCTTGAGATAAAAGTGAGTTTTGGAGAGAAATGTGGTTTCCTCAGACCAGTGCTGGGTTCATGTTCAAGTGAGTTTTTGTTCTGTTTTGATGGTAATAGTTTAAGAGGAGGTCCCGTGTTTGCTTCCCGTAAAGTGGTAGAGCAGCCTGGCTGGTTTGGGAGCATGAGCCAGGCTGTGGAGCCATCATGTGTCCCCCTCTCTGCTCCTCGTGGCTGCCCTCCCATTGGGATGCTACTGGAAGAAAGACCTCCTGGGCAACCATCCCTGCTGGGAGAAGGGCTGCCTTCCTGCCTTTCCCCCTTGCTGCACCCACTTCCCTCCCTACAGGAGGCTCAGGTCCCCAGGCTGCAGGCATTCAGTGGTCTGTGCCAGTTCTGGGGAGCTGCCGAAACCTGCCTTTGCAGGCCCCATGTGCTTATGTGCTTTCACTTAGACTCCAGTGGCTGTATTTCCACCTGTCTGGTGCTTCTCCCAGCCAAGGAAGATGCTCATTGCATGTGAGTCGTGCTGCTCTCTTACCTGTTTTGCTCCCGGGTTTCCACCAGTTGTTTCAGGTGGCAGTGGTTTCCCCTGTGTAGGTACTGGTGTGGAACGGTGAGGAGAGTAGGGACAGCCACTGGGCTCTGCTTCATGGTGAGACCACCCAAAGTACTGGTGTGGATGCTTCCATTCTCTCTGCCACCTGCAAGGACCTTGCCTTCACCATCTCAGTTATTGCTGGCCCAACTCTGTCAATTAATGTGTCTGAGCTGCCCAAATGATTTACCAGGCTCGGTCACCTTGAAAAAGTCAATAGAAAGGGAGAACTTTATCTCCTACCTCTGACAGACCCTCAGGTCACATAAATCATTGCTGCTCTTTTGAAATCTGTTTATGTCAGTGGAGAGCCTATCCTCTGACAGCTGTAACGGGTACAGTGTTAGAAGAAAGAAAATGTTATGGCATATTAAGAGGCCTATCTGTGCACAGAAAAGTTCAAAAGATGAACGATAATTCAAAATGAGCATCTTCCAGATGGGCTTCTGCCTTGCATGGAGGAAAAAATGTGTGACATGACGTGAGGCTGCTCTGCTGAGTGCCCTGATGGTATGCCAAGGGATGGCAAAATGTGCCACAAAAATCCACAAATGTGGATAGTCACATTTTATATCCAGTCAACATGGCATGCACACTGGTACAGATGATTGTATATGATGTCAGCAAAAATTAATTGATTTATTTTCATTTCATTTGTGCCTATTATTTTGCTGACCTTGTCTGTGAGGCACAACTCAATACTCAGCAATTACCATACAGAGATCAGAGAATATTATTTAGTTACATTCAATTGTCACTACACTGTACACTTGATACAGAAATTAGAAAAAAAGAGACTTTACTTTTACTTTCATTATCAGTTTGATTTATGCCGTGACTTTCCTTCAGATGAAAAATATATACATTTTTGATGGAGAAGTTTTCAGTGTGAAATACTTTTTTTTCCCTTCTTCATGTATGAGCCTGCATTTTCTGAGTTAATGTAAACTTTTTCACCTTTGATTTAAGTGGGACGTGATCTGCTCTGATTTTGCTTCTTGTTTGGGAATGTTTCTTATGCTACTTTCAATGAGCCAGGCTTAAAGAGGAATGCATTTACTGCATTTGTTTCCCACTATTTCAGACTGTGTGGTGTGAATGAGCACTTGTGGATGCGCACTTCTTTTCCCAGTTGAAATAGTGACCGTTTAAAGTAGTGGATGCGCTTACCTCCGTCTCAGTGGCGTTCCTACGCTGTGCTGTCTGCAGTATGAGCAGTCTGAATTTGCAGTGTCAGGCAGAAAATGCCTGAACCAAAGTGACTCACAGAACAGGCTGTGAGTCAGGGCCAGCAGCTCTGGTTTCCATAATAGATACAATCAGAAGAAATATAGAATGTTATTTGTTTTTTTGAATAGTATATGGTGGGGGGAGAGACAGGGAGGAACTATCAATTTGTGTGTCTGGACACTAAATAGAAATGCTTATAAATGATCAGTTGAATTTGCTGATGCATTCATTAGAGGAAAACCCCCATCAGCGGCTGGGAAAGTGAGAGGAGCTGTGAACAGAGAACAAGAGGCAGCTCATAAAGGCAAGTGAGACTGAATGGCAGCCAAGGGAGAGGAGCAATCGGCAGGGCAGTGCGGAGGCGCTGGGCGAGGACCATGCTGACATGCTCCTGATACTTTTTTTTATTTATTTTTTTTTCCCCTTCTCTTCAGAGGCCCATCAAGCGACTCCTCTTCTGTGCTAATCTGAGCAAGCAAAAAAAAAGTTTACTTAATTAAAAGGCTGTCTTTTCTTTCTTCTCTAAAGGGGCCGGAGGAAAATAGCTTGCTCTTCTGAGTGAGAGGGAGGGCTGGGAACGCCTGGTTGAGTCTCACCCTGACAATCCCGCTCACTGTTGGGAAGTAGGACAGTGAGTCAGTTCATTCAAGTAGATGCTGTTTATTCAATGGGACATTCTTCCTGTAAAACTCCTAATAAAACCAGAGCCTCGCTTACACAGTGGGGAAGGGGAATGGGTTTTGTGCACAGATTGTTTATTTACAGACACTTTCTGGAAAAAAAGGTGAGAAGAAGAAAGGAGAAAAGGAAGAGGAAAGGAAAGGAAAGTAAGGTGCAGACCTATAAACACGTTTGGCAGTAAACTGGGACTGGTACAATCTAGCCCATCAGCTTTTCTGTCATATATCCCACTCCCAAGCTGTTATAATAAACTTCGCCTGTTAAAAACAAGCAGTTTGCTGGAGCTTTCAAAGTGATTGCTTTACTGTGGTTATTTGCAGAGTACAGACGAGTGCCTGAAGCTTTTATTCCTGATGAGAACTACAGATGCTGGCCATCTTACCATCATAAGGGCTGTCTTCTCTCCGTATTTGATGTCAACGAAGCCATTGAGATCTGTGACAGCTACTCCCAGTGCAAAGCTTTTGTCTTAACTAACCAGACAACTTGGACAGGTAGGTTGCAGATGCTACTGAGTAGAAACAGCATCCAAGTCACATATTCTGGCTGCCTTAAGTGTTTTAATATGGTTTGGGGAGCATGCTGCACTAGGCTATGGGACGGTTTCTGAAGCTCCAGCTGAGGTGGTTTGGTTTTCGGTGAGACTTCTCTTTGCCAGCCATTTGGGGAGCAGAAACCTGCAGGTGGACTGGAAGGAGCTGGCACTAGAGGGATGCATTACATGAACTGTAGGTCTCCAAACTGTGGGATCTGAAATTTTGTTTTAAAACACAGCAGCAGAAACAACAGCCGCCTGTGACCTGTTTCTGCAGTTACATGTGCAGGACATGGTCCAACATCTGGATTTAAAGAAATCTTTCCAATCCATATGGTGGCTGTGGTTTGACACAGAACCAAGCAGGTTCTCCCGTGCATCTAGCCGGGACTTTCCGGCTGGTAACAGAGATGCCCTGCTGCTAGTGGGAACACTGTGCTTCTAGGAGTGGTGTTTTGGCTAAAGGACAACAAGGAGGATGGGTTTAAAACAAGGCAGAAGTTGAAGTAGAGCTTCCAGAGGAAAATCCTATTTGCTACCACAACTCATTTTTTTGTTTAACTGAATACACTCATTGAAAAACAAAGTACATTTTCCAAAAGGTCTGTGGGCCTGGCATTCCCAGTGTGGTTCCCCTGCAGGCAGGCCGTCGGTGCCGATTGACATCAAGCAGAGAATTGGCCCTGGCTCCCTGCTTCTGCACCAGGCATCTCCAGAGCGATCTGAGAAACAAAAATGTTACAAGTCTCTGCTAAGTCTCCAGTAGCTGCAGCTCCAGAGTGGCTGAGGGGTTCAAAAGTGCTGAATGCTGTAGCTGGCTCCAAACCCTGTCTCCCTTTCCCTTCACACCCAGGAGAGCTGTGTGCCCTCATGGCCAACCGAGCTTGCAGTGTTGCCCTGAGCACACTGCACCCCTTGAAGGGTAAAGAAAAAGGATGTTTGTGCCTAGAAGGTGCAGTGGACCAAATCCATGTTCTTTTGTAATTTTACGCTGAGATAAAACCCCCACTGAAGTCAGGGTGAGCTTTTCTGTGCGTCATCTCCTCATGTACAGGGCTGTTTCCCTGCCTGTGATTGGCATCTTTTGTGTGGACCAGGTCATCTCTCCTCCCCTGCTCTATAGTCAGACTATTGAAGTTAATATACTAAAAAAGTAATTATTGTGGCACAGGGAAATTAATAGGAATTTTAGAGCAGCTTCTGTCTCAGATTGTAGTATTAAAAGTAAATGAGACATTAGCAGTATTTCTAGTTGTCTTTATCATTACCCTTACTGTGCTGTTCCTGATGCATGAGCACTTGAGTCTCCGAAGCCTACAGCATGGAGATTTGCTCAGCAGTTGAGCCATCCCATTTGCTGTGTGATACTTTCTAAGAAAATAGTGTCATGGGAGCCCCCTAGAGAAGCAGACTGGGAGTAAATAGTGTTTGGTTTTCTGAAATTTAGAGACAGGGAAGGCAGAGGTTGAATAGCTGTGGAAAAACCTCTCAGTGGCCTCTGCTCCAGGGAAAGGCAATGACAGTGTCTGTGGGACAGCAGGTACCATCGAGAGGCAGAGATGTGAATAACCAGGTCAGTAAGCATGGGGAGGTACAAGAACTGTGCTGTAGCTCCCACAAATACCGCTGAGTAGAACCTTACCAAATTCAGCCCCCCTGGATGTCTGCATGGCAGGTGCCTTACATTGCCCAAGCTGTTGTCCTTTTTTGTATGAGGAGAAGAAACCACCTTCTGGTTTGTTTAAAACCCAGAGCTATGAAGTGATGAGCAAGAGCTATTTCAGAGAAAGTCATGTTTAACGTACATCGCACCGATTGGTTGTGCAAAGATTTAGGCATGCAAAGATGATTCTGCTCCTGTACAGTCAAATGAACACTTGGAACCCCAGCGTACTTTTATTAGTGGGAGAGTCTTTACATACTTTTTTAAATGTCATATGAAATCTATATTAAAATCTTCATATCTTTCTTTCATTTACTGTGTGAGCTGTGTACAGCCATATCTTGACCTTAATTAGATAAGAGTAAATCTGCTGAAGGCAGGGGAGATTCAGTGTCATTTTAGATGAAAGCATTTTCGTTTTATACTATGTGAAGTTAAGAAAGAGCTCATTCTCAGGTTGGCTGAAGACTGCATTGGTTGAAGAAGAATATGAAATGTCAGTATTTTAAACTTTGCAACCTTTTCTTCATAACTTCTAAATAATTTTTCCCTCTCCTTTTCTTATTTGATGCAGGTCGGCAGCTTGTCTTCTTCAAGATGGCCTCAAATCATATCGTGCCTGATCCTGACAAGATAACGTATGTGAAGGTGACAGACTGACACCTAAAGTGGTTCAGTCTGACAAGTGAGTGACAAGGGCTGTTTGTGTATAAATATAGGCAGCTGTTAGGTATAATGTGGCTATGGCCGGAGAGATAATTGCACTATTACTCATTCTAATCTACAGAGTGCTAAAAAAACTTTAAAGAAATAACCTGCATGACCAGGATGAATGTGCAATAAACCAACATTTTGAAAATATTATTTTTAAAAAAAAACAAAGCAAAATACAAGATATGATACACTGTTAGGGTATAATTTTGGTTTTAAATCAGCTGGCAGCTCTGGCTTTTCTAACCAAGGTTAGCATAACGTTTCTGACCTGTGCATGTGTGCACAGGGATGAAAGCTGATAATTTCTATGGGAAGTCTGTATCCTCCGCGCTGATATTTATTTGGGCATGTACAATCACAACAGAGCAACTGAAGCATATCATTTTGGAAGCTGAATAGCAAACGTTTCTGAAGACAATCAGCATTTATGTTAAAGCTATCAAATATGCAATACTGGTGTATTTGTCAAAAGGAAGGAATTGGTAATGTTTAGAATTGCAAGACTGTAGCTAATTTTCATCTTTCCTTTCAATGTTATCATAAAGTTTCATTTTTAATTTAAAAGGGTCATTTTGTAGGTCTAGCAAATCACATAAGCATATGAATAGTCCCACTGAAAGGGTAGGGACTTACCCAAGTGCTGAGTGCTTTGCTGAATAGGGATAGGCCTAAGCATATGCTTACAATTAAGCCTGTGCTTAAGACTTTTGTTGAATCGAGTTTGAATTGTTCAGGAAGCCACATCTCTGACAGACTGGCAAAGCAATCCAGCTGGTGGAACAGTACTGGTTTAATGACTAACCTGTAGTTATTCATAATTTTTATCATCAAATCCTTGGTTTTCTAAGGCACCGCTTGCTAATTCTTAGAGTGAATGAAGTAAATGACCTTAATATTGGCAAAAGAATGCTAGCCTTAATTCTATATAAAATGCATTTTACAGGCATGGTGTGTCTAGAGAATTTGCTTTCAGTGAAAGCAATAAATGCTAAAGTGACCAGTGTCATACTGTTTTGTAGTTTGTACAGTCAGGAAAAAAAATGTGCTTTTGTTTCTCAAATTGTCTATTTTTGTAAAAAAAAAAATAAAAGATAAACACAACTTCTTTCATACTTGATCTTTTTTGTGTTGCAAATAAATGCATGCATCCAGTGAAGACTGAGACATAATGCATTGCATGTAAACTGAAGCCTGAGATTTTTTTTTCCAGGAAGGAACTGAAGTTGTTCCAGTGGCTCCCAGTGAAGGGGGGTGTGTTTTTGGGGGTATGCGGTGGCTTTGTCTACATGGTTGCCTGTCGCAAAGCAAGTGACCGTTAGAAGACAAGATGGCCTTTCTTTCTCTGGAGTTTGAGTCACATCAGTACCAGCCTTTTAATATTTGGAAGGCGTGGGGATGAGAGCAGAACCTTAATGAATCAGTCATTGGGCTAAATGGTGGTTTTTCTTACCGGGCTTTACCAAGGAGAAGGGTCCAAGAAGGAGAGCAGGAAAGCCAGGGAGGCTGGGCAGAAGTGCTCATAGCCTGTCTGAGATGGTGACACCATCAGCCCCAGGTCTTGTCTCACCGCAGTTTCTCTGAGGTCACGATACCCTGACAACTTCTGGCAATTGACTGAAATGACTGCTGTAGTGGCTGTAACTCATAAATTATCAAACTCCTAGCCATAAGAGCTCAGCTGATTGTGTCGCCCTGCACTTAAGAACCCATCAATCACGCTGTGGTAATAAACAAACACTACAGATTCTTCTAAAATTGCTACATAAATCATGCCAACACATACTGCACAGTTCATTGAAGTGATATGGGTTGTTGGCACCGAGGTGCTGGTATGTATTTTGAAAGTCTTTAACCTCCCATGATTGTCTTACCATTAAGCACTGTACACCATTCCAAAAATACTCAGTGTTTAAAAACAATCTGAGTAGTTAAATTCTCTAGTTGCATTCCTGGGTAAAAAATATCAGTATTTCAAAGGAGAACAAAAAATATATCAGGGTAATTCTTTAATGTTGTAGGCAGGTAAATGGATAATTTCATTCCATCATTTTCCATGCACTGGAAAAAAGCGCCTGTTAAGTCAGGAATTGTTTATCCCTGGAATTAAACAAACTTGCCAAACCAATTTACATCAGCTTTTGCAAACAGAGATCAAGTAAGCAAGAAAGAAACGTAGCCATGAGCCAAGAGGCTGCATTCTAGATTTCAGCAGTAATCAACATTATACAGAACTCTGAGAGTAAGGCTTTCTAATGGAAATGCTGATTAAAATCTTAGTAAGAGAGGTGTGATACTACAGTAAGTGAATTAAATAGCTGTAATAAGCACTGGTAAAAGCCTGAATTAATAGGGAGAGTGTGTCTTTGGCAGCAGTGGGTCTGATTCAGCAAATTGCCTAGCTGGCTCTTGTGGCATGGAAACCCCTGAGAAGCCACAGAGGAGGAGGAGGAGGAAGAAGCAAGGTGCAAAGTGAGCTGGTAGGTCTGGGCTAGTCAGCCTGGGAGCTGCTCCACCTTTTCTGTGGAAAAGGCATTTCAATCTGGTTCCCCCCTCCCCACCTCTAACATTTTGACTGCTTTTTACATTTCCTGGCTTCCTCAAGCCACAAGGCAGAAATGTGAAAGAAGACACCCACCAGGCTTTAAGTGACTGACGTCTGTGTGCACACATGCGCCTATGTGTATGTGTATACATATTTATGTATGTGTCACGCTGAACAGGGAGAGCTTATTTCCTCAGTCAAAAACCAATTGACTGTGCACAAAATGAAGTGCTAAACAGGATGCTGAGTTCATCTGGAGAAGTGAGAGCTGTGTGAAGTGGTGGGTGCTGTGGCTCTGCAAGAGGCTGTGCTTAGTGTTCAGTCCCATCTAGTGCTGCAATGCCCCGGCCTGGCTGCAGCTCAGAGCACCTTCACAAGCTGTCTTCCATCTCTATGAGTTTGGGGAAGGAGTGACACTAGCCCCACCACTGGGATCAGACTCCAGTCAATGAAACAGTCACTGCTCAGCATCACCTCTGGCCCAGCATCCGCAGGAATGTTGTGGAGACACATTGAGAGCTTGATCTTTGCTTAGATCGAGATAATTACAAGTAGAAGAACATACTTTTATCTTGTCCGAGCCTACTGATTTCTCTCTGGTCATTCTTCAAAGCTTTATCTCCAATTTCAATGTGTCTTCTTAAGTGGAAAACAGGTCTCATGTATTCAGCTCCAGAAACAGGTTGTTACAATTTGAATAACATCTAGGAGAAATCAAGAGCATTCATCAACCTGAGAGAAAGCCTGAAAACGAGTGGGCCCTGTTGTCAGCTGAGAAGCTCGGGTAGGTTTGTATAAAGAGTTGAAGAGGGTTGGATGGACAGTGAGATGCTTTTGTTCTTCCAACATTAGATAAAGGAGTTTAGTGTAAGTATGACTATTGCTAACCTCTCCCTGCTTCACTGAGGCATTTTGCTCAGTAGTACTGCCAGCCATGACCACCAAGTTTCCCATAAGATTTCTGAAGAGGCTGTCAGGGTGGGGTGTAGGGAGGACAGCAACTCAGAGTGAAGGCAGATCTTCCTATTGCCAGTTACTGTATTTGGTGTGGTAACCGCTGGGGACCACTGTCCTGGAGCTGGACCAGACCATGGTAGGTGCACAGTGAAGACACTGTCCCTGCCTCTGAAATTCACCTTAGCAACCTGTACCACAGCTCATGGTAAGTTGCTAAAACCTGGTGTTCATAGCAGGTGAGCAAATGAGAAGGCTTAGTTACCAACCAGTCAATCACAGACAAGCATCCCGAAAAACAGCTACCCACGTGGGCTCTCTCTGCTACAGTTATAGAGATGAAAGCTCCAGCTGCTCCCGACAGGATTGTTCCTGCACCGTTACTCTCCCACAGCCTGCTGTAACCTGGGGATGTGCCGCCGGAGTTGTGTGTTACAAGGAGAATTGCACAAAGGCAAAATATGTACTGTTACTCCATTTCTACTGGTGGAGGTGGGGTGCTGACCCCATTAATGTTTATAAGGCCTCGCACCTTCATGCACTGTTGCTATTTAGAACAAAAAAAATACTCTCTTGTTGATAATAATTTAGATTAAGCAAATGATTTAGAGGACTTGTAATTCAAAGCATATGGAAGGTGATAGTGAACATCCAGAGATCATGTTATGTTGCCTGTCAGAGAGAAATACATGAATAGAGGCATGTTCAGACTTTGCTAGAGAGCACCTTATCTTCTATTCTATAGCACTAAATTTTTTGAAGACTAACTAAAACCTGCTACCAGGGCAAGGTAAAAAAGGAAAAATGGAGTGGCAAGACTGTTCATAAGCTTTTCCAGGAAGATGTATCCCTAACCTTTTGGTCAGAATGTGAAACACTGTTGAAAGAAATCAAACAGATTTGTCTTGAAAAGACTCAAGTGAAGTTCTCATCAGTCAACTGCAGAAAGAAGAAAATAAGACTCAAAGAAGAAGAGGAAGATTTGTGAAAAGCAGTCAGTACATAAAGATTTTGATCATACTCTGCTTAGTGCTTTGTAAGATGTTAGGGCATGTAGGATCCATCACCATCCTTCAGCACAGACATAGACCGTAGCATTTTAACTCTAACAAGTAAGTTGCTTGCAAGTAAGTACAAGTGATTTTTTTTTTCAAGTAGACATGGATGCTTTTAAAAGCTGCATTTTAAAAATATGAAGGAAACAAAAATGTTGTGTCTCTTCACTTTGTAGCTGCACGCAGTCAGCAATTGCCTTTGTGTAATAGGTGCTCCACTTCTCCACGTGAACTGAGAGGAAAGAATATAGTAATTCAGTAGGAGCCATCCTCATGAAAACATCTTTGATGTCAAGCCAGAGGGCAACCAACACATTTATTAGAAATTTTGACTTGTAAACATAAAAAATCCTTTCTAACCAGTTTTTGAGCAAATGACTGTGAGTCTAAGAAGGAAGACTAAACTATCCAGTGGCTACTTGAAATGACAAAGCCAGAGTCTGATCTTACTTAGCTTGATTTTACCAGTGCAATTCAGTTAGTCCTTGATTTATGTTCACACAAAACAAAATCAGACTGTTAGATTTTAAAGTAGTTATAGAGTAGAAACTAAATAAAACCTGCCTCTTGGACCTAAATGTTTGGACCATATAAGTGAGGAAAAATACACTGATTTTTTGCATATATATGTATGCGTGTGTGAGCCACAGACACAGGTTTCTGTGAGAGTTAAACAATGACATGAAGACTCCTCACTTTAAGATGGAAGCTTTAGCAAGATGCAGCACATCAAATTTATTTAAAGCTATTTAATAAATAATCTCAGGAAAGATGTTCTACATGTTTAACAGGTATAATGTTCTTATTTATCACCCTTCTGCTGACTTCAAGTATGCCCTAAGAACAATTTGCAGTTTCAATATTACAAGTACCTAGCATGTATGAAGATAATGGCA